AGGGCGTTCACCGGGAGAGGTTTATTTATTCGAAATGGACCCAACAAAGCAATGGCAGACCGAAATGGCAATTTCTGACTTGTTAGTCGCCATCAGCCAGTCATACCCAATTTCAAGGGCTGGAACCCCCGAGATTCGAACAAGGCACCTTTTTTTATTGATTTTACCATTCTACCATTGCACTATGGTCTTGTTGCTTTGTCGATTGAGCTCGGGAATATGATGAATATATGGGCATCGCCGATCTGGTAGATGAAAAATTAAGGAGGTTTCAACCCTTGAGATAGGATATGCCTGGCTGGTGACAGCTAGCAAGCCAGAAATGGCCATTCCGGTCTCTCTTTGCTTTATCGGATCAATTTCATCCTATTCTCATTGTCACTATGTAACTGCCTTTGTGGGCTCTAATTGTGAGCTCCAAGCCGAAACAAAACTTGATTGTTCTTCTGCCACATCGGCGATGCCCATATATGTATATCTATACCTTTTGGATTCTCGCTGTCAAGCATCCTAAGAGACGGAGGTAGGTAAAGTTTATAGACGCGAAAGCGGCGAAGTATTTGTGGGATAAAACCGCCATGCGAGCATATATTTATCCTACTTAGAAGTCGACTCATTACTCACAGATCGGCGGTGTCAGTTTCTGTAGCTTCGTCACCATTGTCTGTTATTGGCGTCATAAGGACTCTGTGGCAGTCTCGCTAGCTGACAGCCTTCAACTGATGTGCTTCAGTCTTTGCGGGGGCCGATCCTCTGACGAGTATGAGTAATACAATCGGGCTATTCATACTAATTACACCGGAAGGAGTGAGTATGCCCCGAGATGGGGGCGTCAGTAGCCGTGGTATTCAAAGTCATTTGTCAATTTACTGTCATTTGGTAAGGTTTGTAGCACTGCAGTTCTCGTCAGGCAAAACCTTTGTATAAAGTATTGGAGGAAGGCTATTGCATTCCTCAACAGACTGGGGGATGGTAAACCATGATTCAAGCAGCTCACGGCTCGCAATGTTTCCACATCTTGTGAAGATGTTTACCTTACCGAACTTGAAGATGTGACCGAGTCCTATCGAAGGTGTCGTGAACAGAGAGCTGGGAGTCATCACTCCCAAGTACTGCCGCATGTGTAGGTCCCTCACCCTTATTTGCAGCTGTTCTGTCGATGGGTTCAAGTGTGCATGGGGAACGTTGGGACTGAATACACCTCTCTCCTACTTAACCCCACTCTCTCCTTTATCGGACTCTTAAGAACCCGCCTTGTCGGTCGTCTCCACATTGAACTCGCTACCCCATGCCTAAAACATATTATTTAATCCTCTCAAGGACCTGTTGCCCACTAGTGCCGACCAAAAGCCTAAGTCTTCTCAGTGTACGAATGTGTATAAAAGACTTACTAGTGTCAATGTCAGGCTAATAAATTCCACCCCGACTAGTCATCTTCTCTGAAAGCTCAGCAGTGCATGGAATCGAATAAATTGCCAACTGAGGCAGAGCTTCTTCTTGCGTTGTTTCCGCTTACAATCAATGGTCCTCCATCGATATCGGACAATTTCCTTCACCGTTTAGTGATAAGTGTTTTACAGGTAGGTGTTTGGAAAAGGTAGCATGGGCACTGAAGTTGAAATTGGTAATTCTTGCTCACTAAGTACAAGGCAGATTGAAATATTGTACCCTAGATGTCCTCATCTCGATAGTAGTTGTAATCAGGAGGGGTTTTTCATCGGAAACAAATACTCAACCCTCACTTGTTTGAAAATAGGAGCAGTACCCGGTTTCTCTTAGTATCCACAGGTTAAACTGGAGCTAGTTAGCATATAAATTAGCTGGCCTGATAAGAATTTGTTAAATGTAAACGCCTGTTCTTTAAATGGCCGTATTTGTACTTTTAAGACAAGTTTCGCGCTTGTTAAACAGTCCACATAACAGAGGGGAGGGTTAAGGGCATCTACTGGGAGACTA